CGGTTTTGTCACCGCGGTTTAGTCAGGCGCGGTTTTGTCGTTCGCCCTTTTGTCGGTGAACCCAGAAAATATATGCATCATTTCAAATCATCCCAATGCATCATTGAGGACCTGATCGTCAGAGCAAACTAGTTTGCTTCCAGTTGATCGTTAGAGCTACCAGTTCACCCGAACCAGTCCAAACTGAACTGAATCCCACCCCTGGAAAAAGCTATCGTGAAAACAGGGTCCAATGGCATTACATTTATTTATTTATTTAGAAGGAAATGAGGGCAGAAGATTAGCTGGCATGCAGGCTGTGTTTTTGAGTCATGCAACAGAATCATTGGATGCTAAGCTGGAAGAAAGAAAACTCAGCTTTCTGGGATAAATAAGGGCTTAGATGGTTTTCTTCAAGAATTCACTCTTCCTAAGTAGCAAGGGACTGAAAGTGACTGAGATAAAAAAGATGAAGTGTGACATTTAGCATCTTCTCACCCTTCTCAGCAGAAAAACACACACACACACACACATCCAATTTTATCAATAATAGCAAAAGCTGGTAGCAAATAGAAAATTAAGCAATGCCCTTTATGTGGTGGGTCGGGAGTTGGGGGGGGAGAAACAGGTGCCGATATTAGACACACATTTATATACATAAATGCATTTGGCAGGGAATTTTGCACGCCAAATGTTCAGTTATTTTAAAAGCATCGCTTTTTTTTTGCAAACACCCCGCGTCAAATTGATAACAGACGATGTTGTTTGAAGAAGGAACAAAAAGCGAGACCCCCCCCACCCCCTTCCCAGTAGATGCCAAAAAAACGTTAGCAACTTTAAAATATCCCAGTGGATAGAAGTTACTTTTGCAAAAGTTCGACCTCGCTTTTTCTGTACGGGGTTTAAATTCACAAACCTTCAAATGGAATAGAAACAAGAGTCAAAGATATCATCCAATAAAACTCCACGTTCTGATTTTAGCATGCAGCCAAGATGATCTCATTTTCATTCTCGGCGCCAAAAATTCGCAGAGGGAGGAAATGTACAAAAGAGATGTGAATGTGGAACTAGAGCTGGGTGGAGCTAGAGGNATGCTGAAGGCACACGGAATGCTGTTACCTTCCCACCAAAGGTGGTTCCTATTTTTCGACTTGCATTTTTTACAGGCTTTCGAATCGCTAGGTTGGCAGAAGCTGGGACAAGTAACGGGAGCTCACACTGTTATGTGGTGCTAGGGATTCAAACCACCAGCCTTCCTGATCGACAAGCTCAGCATCTTAGCCACTGAGCCACTGCCTCCCTCTAGACCTAGTTTTAGATAGGGTTAATTGATTATGACTGTTCACCACGGTTAAGTCTTCGCTTCCTCCGGGGAACCAAACGTGAAACAGGGAAAGAATTCGTTTCCTGAACAACTGTGATGGGACAGGCAGCATTACATCCTTACTGGTTCTTTGATTCAAAAGGAAGACACGCCGGATGGACAGGACACTAGCAGCCGAAAGCAAAGGACAACAGAAAGTGCCAAATCATGCTAGGACAGAATTGGCTATCAAAAATGATTTGCAATGGAAAAATCCTCTATAAAACGCCAGTAGCTCTATAATGGAAGATGGCCGTAGAGTTTTATAAAAACATAAAAATCAAATGCAACATGGGTCTCCAAAGCAGCCACCCTGCCTAAATTTGGTGAGAAGTGCTTCAGGGGTTACCATATTTCAGGGGACAACCCCTGCCCAAAACAACTGCCATTCCCCCCCCCATTTGTGGGTTCCAGATCCCGTTGCCACCTGTACGCTGCAAACATGGCCGGGCGTCCTAGTCAGGCCCGCACGCTGTGCACGCATGCGCACACCACCGTCCTGCAACACCCAGCTGCTTGGCGGTGGTTCGCGCAGGCACCGCACGCCATGTGCGTGCTCCCAATCAGCCGGTCGCGTTATAAACCGCTATGAAATGCAGATGGGCGGGTGAGCCAAACGAGCCACCGTAACAGTACCGTGGCCGCTGCTCCTGGCCATGCCCGCCGCTCGGAACCCACCATTGCCGCCCCCCCCCCATTTGTAGATAAACTTAGCGGCGTCTGTACCTTTTAAAAGGGTTTGCAAACTGTATAAACAAGGCTGATCAGGGCACCGATTCCCTGGGCTGGGCTTTCTATTTTATTTGACTTATTCAGTTTTAGCTGACGAATGTAATCTGGAAAAATGCGAACTTACCTGTTTGCCCTGAACTAAAACATTAGTAATAGATGGGGCAAGGCTGTCCACTAGCTTATATAAAAGGCTTGCCGCGAAGCGCACAACAGACCTGG